CAGTGTCTCCATTCGATGCGTTGGGATCTATCCACAAATCCACACGGCGTTACAACCTTAACCAAAGACACAATAATGAACCTTCGCGTTCTATGAAAGACGACAAACTTCCATGAGTACCTGAACAACTATCAGCTTCTTATGAAGAATCTGCTCTGAGGAGTTACTTGGTTATAAGCCATACCGTAAAATGTCCCAAATGAAAGTTGCAGGCTGCAAAGAGCTCTGTATTACGGGTCATATATCAATATTTTGATACAATTCCGTCTGACTTTGACGAAAAAGGGGCAAGCTTAGGTTAGGTTCATTGCAATTTTAACCTTTTGTACTAGGTGGAACTGAGCAGTGAACTCCTCCGGCCGCTTTGTCCCGGTGGACGAACGGTCCATACTAAGTGGGTGGACTGTGTGGGAACCAGAGCTGATCTGGGCGTACTGAGGATAAAAATCAATACACCTGCTGGGAATCGAAATCCGGTCGTCCCTCCCACAGCCAGCCATTTTACTCTCTGAGATAATTATCCTGGCTAACTTCGGGCTATAAAGAAGATTAATAACTGATAAGGATTGTTTCTTACAATTAACAAATCACCCACATTCGATGTAAAATATTTTATAACAATTTATAATAAAACGCATAACTGAGACGTTTCAGAATCAACGAATTATTACACCACGCAGGAAACAGTTCACTAGTCGCCACAGCCAAACTAGATCTGCACCCATCCTCATCGCCCTGATGATGGAGGCAGCAACGTCTACCATATTACACGGCGCAACGACACGACGTTCAGACTCACCGCCGTAAAAACCTCAAATCCTACATTGGGTCGGGCCTAAATTAATTACAAACCGGCCATCAAAGTTACAGAGACTGTAAGGATTGCTATTTCAGTCTATCACTTTTCGAAGGTCCAGGAAAGCGCACCACAATACACGTCACTAGGCACCGAGCTTGGCAGCTCAAGCCTAACGAAGCTGCTACGTCCTGAGGTTTTCTCGGCGAGCGACCATGGCCTATTCACAGGCAGGCTTACTAGATAGACTTAGAAAAAAAAATGGGATGACGGACGAATCCTCTATTCAAAAATAAACAAGACAAATGCCCTGATACTGAACAGAACAGAGAAATTTAATAATAAAAACGGCCATTTGTTAACGACAGCAATAATTCGTGAGTCACGAAAGAAAAGATTAATTAAAGGAAGAGTTTGCTGTTCTGTGAAAATCGAAATAAATGCACGCAATACGAACATAGCGACTTGCTCTCCATACGTTTTATTACATATACTACTGAGAGAATTTACATAAAATGCAGTTCTGCGATAATTAACCAGTAGTTGTCACACGAATTTGAATTTACTTAGTACGTAAAACATAATTCGTACTCAAAATATATAATATAATTCAGGTCTATACACAAACTTTATTTACAGATGTTAAAATTTAAAATTTAAAATTTGCGCTATTCATCGCTACAACGATGTTACAATACTTTATATTATATATTTTGATTATAAAACACAAACATGACGCATTTAAACCTTAAATATAATTCGTACATACACGAAGCTCAAATTTAATTTAATCGATTTTTTCAGCCCCCCCTCCTCCCTTCCAAAAGTCAAAAGGTTCTACTTGACATAAATACAGACCAGACTTTTGTTACAAACAATTCCCATTGTGGTTAATACATATTTAACGGCAGTATAAACCAACTATGCAGCAGAAACATTCTTGAAAAACTGATAATTACTTAGCTACTAGAGAAATTACAGACATTCTATGCAAATAAAACGTTCAGACCAACCCCAGGGCCCCTACCCTGAGAACGACGAATCCAATCAAAACCCTCCCACATTATTTCCGTAAGGCCCATCTTAATATTATCCTCCCATCTATACTTAAGATCTTCCAGTGATGTCTTCTCGTCAGGTTCTCCAACATTTCTCATCCTGATAATATTTCGCGAAGAGTGTTTTTCATAATACCATGTTCTCCAGTAACTTCAACCCCCTTGGGCCCAAGTTGCGAGTAGACTACACAGCGCCCTATTTTTCAAACAACATACCCTCAGTGAGATTTAAGGTTTTCACAGCGGACCAGGGCGAGCTCTAATCATGGAGGCAGCAAGGACCTCTGAAACGTCGGCAAACTTCTACCAGACTACACGGCACTACAATCCAGAAGACTGCCATCTTCATCAAGATCTTTATTGAAATTCTGTAAGTTTGGAACTATGGTCGGTTTGAAACTGTTTGCAAACTCACTGACTTTACGTACCAGCTGGGTTGGGGGGGGGGAATCGATATAAAATAAAAGTGTTGTCTCTGCCTGCCAACTTAGCTGAAGGAAAAAGCGTGGACGATTGGTCCTGAGACCATCAAGTTCCTCGTTAAACCCGCATTTAAAGCCCTTTTATCTCATATACAATGAATTGTTGAACCACTCTCTCTCTCTCATTCATGTGTGACTATTTTACAACAGAAGTATACAGACTCGTATGTCTGCAGCGTTTTCACGGCCCGTTGAAAGAATAATTGTTTGATTCGCCCACCTATGAATACACAACACGACAATATTCTCTTTTATACGTGATCTTAATTCATTTCTTCATACAACCGTCAGATCTACAAATTGTGGGGTCTCAATTTATGCAATACTGGGGAGAAAAACGAGTTCTAAATATCCATGTAAGTTCAAGTCTTTTTGAGAATAATCTACGAGTAGTACAGTCTTTGGACAAGAGATCACAATAAACTTTTTATACCTTGTTGTAGTGAATCTCAAGACATTTTGCGCGACTCCTTGGACGTGTGATCAGCCTGCCGCAAAGCCTCTACCCACACAGAACACAAAAATACGAGGATTAACAAGCCTAGAGCGGGATTCGAGCCCTAGATCCCAGATAGAAGACAATGACAGAGAAAAGGATGAAGATTTCTGTCTTCTGGGTTATTGCGCTGTGTAGTCTGGGCGATGTTAACCAAAGGTTCAGAGGTCATACTGCCTCTGTCATCAGGGCGATGAGTATGAAGATTCCTGTCTTCTGGGTTGTTGCGCTGTGTACTCTGAAACGTTGGTTAACATCGACCAGACTACACGTCGCAACAACCCAGAAGACGGAAATCTTCATACTCATCGCCCTGATGATGGAGACAGTATGACCTCTGAAACGATGGTTAATATCGACCAGAGTACACAGCGCGACAACCCAGAAGACAGAAATCTTCATACTCGTCGCCCTGATGACGGAGGCAGTATGACCTCTGAACCTTTGGTTAACATCGCCCAGACTACACAGCGCAATAACCCAGAAGACAGAAATCTTCATACTCGTCGCCCTGATGACGGAGGCAGTATGACCTCTGAACCTTTGGTTAACATCGCCCAGACTACACAGCGCAATAACCCAGAAGACAGAAATCTTCATACTCGTCGCCCTGATGACGGAGGCAGTATGACCTCTGAACCTTTGGTTAACATCGCCCAGACTACACAGCGCAATAACCCAGAAGACAGAAATCTTCATATTCACCGCTGTGAGAACCTCAAGTCTTACAGAGAAAAGGATGTCTACCTGAAGAACTGCCTTATCTAACGGGACTCATGCAATTGATATTTTTCCTTCTACCTGAAGGCAAACATCAAAACATGTTTAAGCTAGTCAATGGATAATGTGAAACAAAAATACTTTCATGAAGCTGTCCAGAGCAATTTATACACATCCAACGACCCCAAATTTCAGAATTAATGTTACCAGACTGCATGAAGTCGATTACTGAAATACTAAGGATTATTTCTGGAATAATTTAATATTACAGAATCTACAAACGAAATAATTCGTATGAAATGTTTAAATGAATTAATAGCATTTGTACATAACGTATCAAATAATACCAATACACCTAAAATAAGATGACCCGACACTATCTTTACCAATGTTACTCCTTATCTAACTTAATCAATCCATAACCCAATACTATTACAGAAACTAAGTAGTCCGTAGCCCGCTAAAGGACTGTGAACTACTCTAAATTCGCTGAATCACTACCTGTCAATGCTAACGTATGCAGCAGTTTCGAATATTAAAATGTCTTTTATTTCGTTCAGCGAATGCGTGTATACATATTTTTGGGACACCCGTCTATGGATCTGCTTTGGCATTTAGCATTGGCTCACAGAGTACAGAATTCGTATGATTCCCGGAACAGAAAACTTATCTTCCACAAGCAACGATAATCGATTAATAAAATCCTTTCGGGCTATCTATCAGCAGCGTCCACTTGGAGCACAAGGTCTTCTCTGCCTTCATCGTCAGGGATTTTACCACTTTCAGATGCCGTGAAAGCTTCAAGCTTCCTCGCACCAACTGATATTTGTAATGGCGACGTGATGTGTTTTCTTTTACGTAGGAACTGAATTCTTAAATATGATTAGATGAACTTCGTGCTTCAAGGCCAGAATACATATCTCTCTTCCCACATTAAATGTATTTTCTCGTAATTTAATGAGTCAAAAATCAACTTAACAACGTGTAATACATTAAAAAACCTATAAAGACCAAACTTAATAAACTGATTCCTAATACGGTCGCATGACACGCACTTATCCTTAATTTAGACTTAATTAACCCACGCCTAACACATTCAATTAAAACACATATATCAGGCCCATACCTAATTAACAATCACACACACCAGTCAGCACCAATTTCATTAAACATTTCCAGCTCGCATGCATACACGCGTAACTAAATCGTCCCAAAGCCAAAATATTCAATCAAAAACATAACTTAGCCAACAAGCCGAAATTAATTCAATCATACTAATTTTGTAACGAATTCAAGCCCCAACATAACCAAAATCAGACGTATAATTTAACCAACCGAAACCTAACCATATCCAGCCAATACCTGACTGAACCAATCCAAAAGCAGCTTCTCTGAAATATACACATCCGCACTGCCCGTCCCCTAAAGAGCAAGAAGGCGGTTCTTACCTTCTAGCTTCATGCCGACTTCGAGGCACTTCTGGAAGCGACAGTACGGACACCGCTTCCTCTGGGTCTTATCTATGTGACAGCTCCTGTCGGCCACACACGTGTACACCTTCTTGTTCTGCACAGTCCTCTTGAAGAAGCCCTTACAAGACTCGCACGTGAGGAGACCGTAGTGGTAGCCCGACACCTTGTCGCCACACACGGGGCACAGTTCCTCGATTCCCTCCTTCGTGTCGGGCAGGTCCGCGGGGGCCCCCGTCATGCCCGTGACCACCGCCCCCACTGCCACCGGATGCTGGGGCGACTGCTGGTAACTACCTGCTGCAACATCCATTCCCGGTACGGAGGCACCGCCTGCGGGGAACAGATAGGAGGCGTCCAGGTTACCCAACATGTGTTGCTGCTGTTGGGGGTGGTGGTGATGGTGGTGGTGGTGGTGCATGCCGCCCCCCATAGAGTACTGTCCCAGCGGCGGGGATCCGTACAGTGGAGGCGGCATCGCATTGTTACTGTGAGGGCTACCACTGGAAGTCATTGCTACAGTTCCATTGCTACCATTGCTACCATTGGGACTGAGGCTAAAGGGGGACATATTAAGCGAAAGTAAAGCTGGATGGGGATCCATTTCCAATAACATAGTACGTCGGGCGCTACGCACAAGACAAGTGACTAAACACAGCACTTTAGTCTGAGTATCAGTGAGATATCCGACACTTTACACCAACGAGTCCCAGATCCAAAATCAAGACGTTTAGAATCCCCTCACAGACTTATCAAGTACGATTAAAAGCAATGTCTGATCACTTATTACACTATTCCACAAACAAATATCACGAAATATCTGAAGCAGTTGACAAGTACTTAATGTGAAATCACAAATCACAATCAATAAAAAACGAAACGAGGGGGGAGGGGGGTGTTGCGACAGACTGCCACACGATCGAGTACAGTTCTAAGAACACTACTTCACTGTTATCCTCTATTCCATCCCCTGTTACGGGGAGGGATAAATCTCACAACTGACAACCACCCGAACAGCACGTGGTGATCGGCCAAGTTTCTACGAAGATAATACTTTGGTTCTGAGCGAGACACACAGAAAGGTATTTGTGAATCCATGTAAGAAACATGAAAGATGGATTCACATCAAAATCATCGATTCACTGAAATTTAAAATCACTTGATATATAAAAACAGCAGGAACAAGCCACTTTTAAAGAAAGAGAACTGTACACACACACAGATCACTACAACCACAAAACGAGCAGTACTGGTAGGTAAAATGTCACAATCACACCACGCAGCTGTTCACCTGTCGGCTGCCAGTCCGGCACTACTTTGACGTGCGTCTCACTAGCACGATTACTCAGACACTGGCAAGTACTTTTTTGTGTGTGTGTGTGTGTGTCAGTGATGTAACTGAAGCGAAAACAGGACGCCACGCGAAGTCTCACTCTCTGGCAACGATCGTAGATCGCGATGTTAAGGGTCTGTGTCCACAAGACAGACTGAATAGTTCGAGAACGAAGACTGAGGTGTAACCCCTGAGCAACACTGACGGAATGAACAGCTAGTCTAGTGCGGCCAGCGGTGATACAATGGATAATGATTACACAGCCATGTAATAGTGAAAGTGAGTGGCTGCAGGCGACCCACTTTTCGGTCTATGTTACTGTTGTACATAGCGAGAGTGGAGAGTGGGGGGTGAGACTAAAAGAGGAGAGGGAGTGTCCTACTGACCTACTTACTACAATCCCCGCTGCAGAGGTGGCGCTGGGTCGGGTCGTTCCGCAACTAGAAACCCCACCCCTCCCACAAACCGCCGCGGATAGCAACTATCGATACCTGCGTCTCCTGAGATGACCGTCCATTCATCAAGATTAACGCGCGCGAAGCTCATTAGTTATGTATCAATACGTCGTTCGTATCGCCATAATCAGATCGCAACCTCGTTACAAAGATTAAAAAAAAGCAACAAGACGGCGACTATTTAATCAGGGAATAAAATTTAATAATTAATTTTTGAGAACCAAATACCCAGTTGCGGAATGTTACAAACAGCTGACACAAATAGTCGTATAGAGGCTGGAACGACACGTGTCTTAAGGCTTTGACCGGGATGTTCTTTTGTTAAATCTTACGTGGTACCGCCTGATTCGACTTCTAATGGTTAAGTGAAGTGTTTTCTTCGCGGTACGGTCTGGATTCGTAAATATTATGAAGACGAGCTTCGGCTTCAAAGGGTTAACCAGCTGATTTTCGTAATGGTGAGGTGTAGTGTTTTCTTCGCGGTACGGACTGGTAATTACTTGGTAATTAAACAAAGCGCGTGATTGGAGGCACTGAGTAAAACTAGTAATCTTTTTGGAAGATATGTCAAACGATATCAATACAAAATCGATGAAAACAGTGTTATATCGAAATTAAAATTATACATCTGCTAGACAAATGTCGGTCAATATTGAAGGGAAAATCGAAAGCAATGCTTTGAAAAACACATTTATCCTTAAAGTAACAATCAAAAATAAAAATAATTGTTTAATTACGAAATCTACGAAGCGTTAACACGTAAACATCTGTTTTTATGCGGTTTTATATAAATAAGTACATGTACATAGAACGCCATGGATGAGTGGACAGTCTTTTGTTTCAGTGCACACAAAGTTATATAAAAATTAAGTAATGCTGTATAACAAAAAATTTAAAATAATGAACTATCTTCGTTTATGAGATGATAAAGTTGCGTCATATTGTGATAAATATATATTTGTTTAAATCTTGACGTACATATACAGAACAACTTCGAATACGATATTAAAATACAATAAAATCTGGAAGAAAACATCATTTGAAATCTGATAAACATCTGACTAAAAGTTGCATTTAAGAAATTATATTTAAGTTTATATAATTTATACACCTGAAGATGGTTCTTTTAGAACTGAAACATGTCGTGTAAAAAAGTGATGATCTAATGTAAATCTAACATTTCGATAGAGAACAGCATGTTAATAATTTAAATGTTAATTATAATAATATTTTAATATTTAATAGGAATTTTATTGTGATTAGACTGACAAGATTTAAACAAATATATCTTCGTTTAATTAAAGATATAATATGACTTAGTACAATGCACTATGTTTTATAGAAGTACACGTACGTCGTTAGCCATGATAGACATACGTGTTCGTAGCACGCCATGGATAAACGATCCACACGGACCAATATCTCTTAATAGCATTACCATGGGAACTATTATAACAAACCACACATTCATGAATACTACACCGCAAGGCTTAAAATCGCTTGAGATCATAAGTCAATAACGAACCTTGTTCTGAGATGGTAACACTTCTGAATTTCTCCTCTGAACACATCTGAACCGATTACTATTTCATATATGACATCAAAACACCACCTCAACAATAACGTTATATTAATAATATCTAGACACAACTTCCATAAAATATACTGAGAAAGATGATAAAATTATAAAATTGTAAAAACTATAAATAATTGTAATTTGAGTTTAAAAAGTTTATAATTTATACCTGATGACGGTTTGATAAACCGAAACATTTTGTGAATGTTCCGATGTAAATCGAATGCTCGATATGGAACATAAGATGATATTTTAATCATTTTAATTATCTTATCTTACTATTTTATTGTGATTTGACGGTAAACAAATATAATAATTACTTTAAAATCGCTTCACAGCAAATGATCGTCAACCTAGGTAGCAACACTTGGACTTAAGTTCTCACGGTGGCTAGTTTGAAGATGGCTGTCTTCTGGGTTATTGCGCTATAACCCAGAAGACAGCCATCTTCAAACCGTACGTTAACGAACACCAAGTGGGCTCTGGTACGTTAATTCGTACCTGAACATTTGTACATTACAAAGGCACACAAACTGAAAATGCAATACAGATGTGTAAAGGGTAGGGCTTAGCCGTCAAGTCCCAACCACCGGACACAGCAATGGAATTTCCAAATTAGGAACTTGAGATGACTCAACTGCAGACTGGTTTCCGAACAATACAGACACTTGTATAAAATCAAACAAACCACGTGTTTCACGATGTTCTTCTGGGTTTTGGCGCCGTGTGGTCCTGTCGGTAGATGCCAACGTTTCGGAGAAACATGCTGTCGCCATCCTCAGGGCTGTCTACAAGCGCCTAAACCCAGAAGAATATCATCCTCATTGCCGTGAAAACTTAAAATCCTCACACATCTACGCGTTTGTTGATTCGTGTGTGATTCTTTAACGGCGTTGTCACTAGCTCAGGGTCGGATGTTAGGACGATTGATAAACAAATGGAACAACATGAAAACGGCCGTGGCCCGATTTAAGCACGACCATATCAGCTTTCTCGAAGGACTGAGGAAAACCATGAAAACCCGAAACAGGAGATCATCAGATATAATAAATGAATCGGAAAGGGTATAGAAGGAGTTAGTCATGAACTTATTCGAGGTACAAACGCCGATTCTGCCTTAAAAACAACAGAAACCTCAACACGGGAACGCCTGTCTCCGGGGCCGAAATCTGAAGACAACCAAAGTTTTTAACCGCTCGGTCCTCTGTATACGTGTTTATGATCAAAATCAAAAGTCAGAAATACTACAGCGACACTACACTAAACTATCACTCAGCAGTACACATTTTCCGTTCACCACTGTTATCTAACGGGCAGGAGGCCGGATGTGTCTTCGGCTCGGTTGGACGACGGCGAAGAGGAAATCACGAGTGACTGCGAGTCATGACAGTGAACCTGAAGACGCAACTGTAGCTTTGCCCCTGTGAGAACCTCTTATTCATAAACGATACATTTGTCTGTAAAGTGTGGATACGCTGTCCCCGTGTACATCACCATTCGAAGATGATGTTACTTAAAAGGCTGTAAGTTTCACACCACACCCCAAGCTACATGGCCCACTCCCTTGGTATCTATATATTTATTTTGAAACATACACGTCAAGCCAAAGAGGTGGGCTTTTGCGCCTTCGTCGATGAACATACAGATTCTGACAGTCTGAACTGAGATAATGTACGATATATCAAAGTTCAAAATCCTTTCGCCGTCAAAGATGTTAGAAAAGAACGCACAGCGTAACAACTGTGGCGCGTTCACCAGAATCTGACCTTTGTAAATGGTGTTCTAAGATGTAAAGAGTTGTCTGCCGTCAATTGTTTCTGCATTGGCGAGGTGTCTGGGTAGGGATAGCGTCATCGCGGAGGATTCACCACGCAGTAGCGGGAATAACCGAGGACTGCCCGACACGAGGATTTCCCTGATAGCCATAACAACCAATGCGCAAACACTCACCACCACCCTGGAACTTCCGCGCTCAGAAACGCACGCAGGTCTCCACATAAAGTATTCGTTATTCTTACTTGGTCTTAACCAACATTGGAACATGGCTACAAATTTTCAGTAAAGCCCCCATAACGTCAAAGTTCACGAAAATCCTTCTCGAGTGGACAGACAGACGGACGGATATAAGGCAGACAGACAGACATGGCAAAACTTGCAGGTTCATCATTTTAACCTTCAGTTGCGAACGCGTAAGAACAGACTTCTCATTCACCTAAAAACACACACACTTTGATGAATAGCAGAACAACGCTTGGCCAGTGTTATATAACAGCATATTAGCTAGTCAAAAATCTGTCGCCTTGATGAAACCTGGAACTTAATTACACTGCTCGCAACAGAAGACAATGGGTCATTCTACTCCTCGGTATTCCTGAGATGATAAAGTTGCGTCATATTGTGATAAATATATATTTGTTTAAATCTTGTCAGTCTAATCACAATAAAATTCCTATTAAATATTAAAATATTACTATAATTAA